CAACCCTTGCTTGCAGGGCCCATCAGTTCTCATTTCTGTCAGCCAGAAATCCCTGGTGAAGACTGAAAAATAATCATGAGGGGAGGAAGTCTGTACAACATGCATGCTTCTGTGAAGGGAGGGAGGTGATGGGCATTCACGGAGGCCCCCAGGAGCCAGGCTGGGTATGGGGCAGTAAGAAGCTCCCCTCAGGGCCCTGGATGTGTCAGGCCCCGGTCTGGGGACACTGACAGGGGGCACTTTGCATCGCCCTTGTTTTCAGCCTGTTCACCTGTATTAGTCATTTACTCTTCATGGAAATCCTATGACTTCCCCAGAATTGTACACTTAGGAGACCGATGTACAGCAACATGCAGGATTTTGCTCAAGGTCACCCCATAAGGTGGCAGAGCCAGGACGTTTTTGTTTCCAGATGTTTGTCTTTAAAGCTTTGAAAGAGGTATGTGGAAAGACTGGGACTGTAGACACCCATGTATCAACCAAACCAGATTCATCTATGACGAGTATTTTACTATCCTCTATGTTCTCTAGAGATCTTTCTGGACCTTGTTAATGTTACAAACTTGGTGACACGTTATCTGTACATGAATAGTGCATTCGCCTTGAGGAGATTTGACAGTAATTCATATTCATTGATACCAATCCATATTTCCTTTTCTCCCTTGTCTCAGGTTGTCTTCTGGATGCATCGTAAGAGCCTACTTCCCTTTCACAACTTGAAATTGTTTTTCCCCAGTGAGTTTGATATTTAAAGAGACCACAGAATGTCTTTTTGTGGTGGGGTGCACATGTCATAGTAGAGGCTGATAAAGTATGCTAGCAAGGGAAGTCCATCCCCATTCATGGGTTTATATATCATCTTTGGTAACTTTAAAGCTACAACAGCAGATATGAGTACGCCCAACAGAAGCCATTGGCTTGCAAAGGCAAATACATTCACTCTGTGGCTCTTTCACTAATATTTATCAACTCCTGTGTTAAAATGTCCCTTCTCTTGACCTAACTTAGGTTCTGTTAGTTTTTTGGGCTGGTTGGCAAGCAATAAGCTGCACACATGGACATTTACTTATAACTCTTTATTCATCTATGATGTTCATTCACTATTGTCATTAAGTCCACTTTTCCTTCTCATATATCACAGAAGACTTCACAGAAATAGTAGCTAATTCAAGGTGAGTACTTGATACAAATAAAGGTTCTTTCTTTCTTTTCTTTGACAAGGACATTGCTGATAGTGTAATCTCATGGTCAAATCATGGAAGTATCATAATGGGACCCATGGAGGGAACTGAGAGGGGGGGGCCCATTGTTCAACTTTCTTCTCCATTACAAACTCCCCGTGAGGTCCCTTAGCATTCGAGGGCAAAAGGGCCAAGTAGACAGGAGTCTCTGCTCCTTCTTCTGGGCTTTTAATGGCTGTAGGTCCACCCATGTCTGTTCTCACCCACCCAGGGCAGCAGGCATTCAGGAGGATCCTGTCTCCCCTCCTCTGCTCACTCAGTTTCCTGGCATGGATTCTGGACAGGACCGTGACACCAATCTTTGACAGTCCATATGTGAATGCCCTCATATCAGGCCAGCCCTCCTTTGTCTGTACCCTGTTCTTTGTGTCTTCCACAAACTTGTTCATGAGTCCCACCAGCTCCTCCTCTGTGATAGTCTCACTTCTGAACTTCTGCTGCATTCCTGGGTTGCAGTTCTTAAGAGCTACTAAGCTCATTATGCTAGACACATTGACCACTCTGCCTAAAAAAGAACACAAGTAGTTACATAGAATGGCATGCACAATAATGATGAATACCACAATCCCTTGGATTTGTCTATTTGGGAGACAATTACCAGTTTGCTAGGAGTGTGAATGTAGTCTTCCTATATAAGTGAAGGACACAATACAGTCTTGAACCTTGTAACACTCATAATGTCTCAGAGGATGTCAGAAAAATGATCTAATGGGGAGTGCAGTGCCTAGATGTCCCATAAGGAAAAGACAGCCCCTTATACAGGAACGTGCTCCAGAAAGTAAGTAGGTGCTCACTGCAATCATGAGTAGAGAGACACTTTTCTTCACAGGTCCCCTTTGGGACCATCTTAACATCTTATGGTCCCATGGCCAGTGCTCTATGAATGAATGTGTATCAACCAACCAACAACTGATCAGTTTATTGATGACCTTTTGAAGGAGAGCACCTGCATAGGTTTTGTGGGCTGTCTTTCTGCTGTAACCAGGTAAAAACAAATCTCCTCAGTGGGCTAAGGTGCATGCTATTTACTCTATGTTGGGATTTCATCAACTCAGGAGCAGTGAGAACACACCAGGCAATAAGGTCATAGAGAGGGGCAACGGAAGAGTCACGTGTTAAAGAGATGGTATAAAAAGAAATGCTACAACATGGATGAATCTTGATAACATTACCCAAAAGAAAGTGGCCAGTCACAAAAGACTATTCATTATATGATTCTCTATATATGGGATGTCCAGAAAAGTAAATGTTCAGGCAGAAAATAGATTGGAGGTTGCTTAGGGCAGTGGGAATGCGGGACCAGAGGGCTGATGCTAAGGGTCCAGGTTCTCCTTGGGGTGATGACAGTGTGCTAATCTTGAAGCGGTGATTGCTCCACACCTCTGTCCGTTTACTACACTGAATTGCATACCTGAAATGGGTGAAGTGTATGATGTGTGAATTTTATCTCAGTAAAGTGGTTAAAAGTGTTAATCACATAGTTCTCACTAATTCTTTTTCAAAAATATAGTTATTATTCATAAATGTGAACTTACATTGACATGTATAAATAGTTTACTATTTTTCCATCTACATGAGTATCTTTAGCCTAATAGAAAGATTATGAGAATTTACAAACAATAAGAGCTTCAGTAAATTAGGAAACTATCCCTATTTTATGTAAATATCCGGGAAAGACAGTCATGGTCACTTAACTCTGAGCTCCATCCCACTAAGGAATGTCAGTGCCATACAAGTTCAGTGGGAGAGATAATGCATGACCCTGTGACTCTCATTGGTGGTGTTTACAGATAATTAAAATGATTTCTAGAAAGTACCTTATTAATGTAACAGTTTTCTAACATAAACACCTTTTAGAAAGGGGTCAGTTATTCCAGTCCTTCCTTTCATCTAAAACATGTGAAGTGTCACTTTAACGGAACTTATGTGTTAAATGGTTTAGTAAGCACCTCTCATGTTTGATTACTTAACTAATTACATTTATTTTATTTTAAAAATATCATCTGCCTGTCTCAAAATAAAAATAATACACATTAATGTTTCAAAATTGCAAAACACAGAAGTTTATGAAATAAGACAGGGGCAGAGGAACCCACCCTGGGTAACTGGTATACCAGAAAGACAGCAGCATTTACTCATAGGGGCTTGGAGCCATTTTCTTATGTACCTTTACTATAGACACTAGATGGAGAAACTCTACAAACTTTCTGCAGGCTGTGTATAATGTATAATGAAGTGATGCCCTCTTGTCTATTCTGTATTGTCTATCTCAGGAAGTCTAGAATCACCTGTGAAAATGCTTACCTGTGTATTTCAGGGAGTCTGACAGGGAGTAAAAGGTATTGTAGGTAAATTCCTTATAGTAGATGCTGCAACCATTTCCTCAACCCAGGCCTGTCCCCTGCACTGACCACATTTGCAAGTGGCAGGCTGGCTGTCAGCGGGCTTCACCTCAGAGCTGGGTGAGATGGTAGACCCTTCTGGTGTGACAGCTCAGGACAGGAAACACAAGTGCAGGGATAGGAAGTACTTATGGAGTTTATACAGCCAAGTGTCTGATCCAAACATTTTGTCTCTAGAGTAGACTCATGGCTTTCGTGTGTCATTTTGAGAACTCTGAGCTGGAATGCACGCAGCCCATGCGCTACAAAGTTTAAGGGTGGGGCGCCTGGATGGCTTAGTCAGTTAAGCAACTGATTCTTGATTTCAACTCAGGTCATGATCTCACGGTTCATGGGTTTGAGCCCCACATTGGGCCCCGTGCTGACAGTTTGGAGCCTGCTTGGGATGCTCATTCTCGCTCTCTGCCCCTCCCTCACTCGTGCCCTCTCTGTCAAATATAAGTAAGTAAACTTAAAAGAAAAGAAGTTTATGGACCATCCATAAGACCTTGTGATAAGGGTGTGTGAGTGCATTTGAGTGTGTCGTATGTCTGCATGTGAGTGTGTGCGAAAGAGACTGGATGTGTGACTGTAAGTGTGTGACCTGTATGAGGTAGCGTGTAAAGGAATTGCCCCGTCACAGTCAGTGTGAAAGCATGTCACCCAGATACGAAAGGACTCTTGTTCTGGTGGGGCTGGCGTGTGTCTCAGGCTTATAGTCTATCCAGGCCATTACTCTGTATGTGGCCAGGGATCTATTTAGGAACATCTCTCCCTCTCCAAACTTCAGTGTCCTAAAGCACAGCCACAGTGATCTCCACACCACAAGGTATTTTAGACATCATCTCATCTGGGGTCACAAACTTCAAGGGCAGCATTTGACTCTCAAGGCTATTCAGAATCTGTGAGCCCAAGCTGGTTCTCATGACCTTTGATGATTTAACATTTGTCACATTCCCTGGAAGATCCATGTTTTCTAATATCAAGAGGACCAGTTCTTTAGTGTCTTGACTGATAAGGGTTTTTCAGAAAACACTTCAAGTTTTGAAATGTGCCTCCTGTGGTTTTCCCTGAGGTACCTGGGGGTCTTGCTATAAGGAAGGCATTGGCCCAATAGAGCAGAGTCCTTTTATTTTCTGTTTCCCTTGCCTTACTGGGTAAGGCTTCATTTGAAGAAGGGATATGTAGGGAAAATGATTTGAGGACCTTGAGTAGTGGGAAGAACCACTAGTTTGGATGTCACATGACCTCGGTCTTCAGCCAGCTGTGCTTGTGACCTTGAAATCCATTATTCCTCCAGGTTCTTAATGGGGACCATATATAAAATGCCTAGCACATCACACCTAGAAATGTCCAGCCACCTATCCTTTCTAGAATCAATATGTCAGAATGAGTGTGAGTGAGATACATTTGCTATTGTAACTTTCTCTCCAAATTTCTCTAGTGGTTTTTAAGACTACAGGATAGGGGCGCCTGGGTGGCGCAGTCGGTTAAGCGTCC